AAAAAAAAAAAAAAAAAAAAAAAAAAGATGGGGTCTTACTCAGTAGCCCACACGGCTCTCAAGCTCATTGATACCTCTGCCTCACCCTCCCGAGTGAGTGTTGTGATGAGAGGCATGTGCACCACACCTGGCTTAAGAATTGTCTCTGGATTTGATTCCCAGAATGATGAAAGGTAACCTGTGAAAGAGTATTTGAGAGGCTGGAGAGATGGCACAGTGGTTAAGAGTGTTTGCTGGTCTTGTAGAGGACCTGGGTTCAGTTCCCAGTGCCTACACCAACTGACTTACAACAGTAATTCCAGAGGACCCAGTGCCTTGTGGCTCTGTGGGCACCTGTGCGCGCGCGCACACACACACACACACACACACACACACACACACACACACACACACCAGAGGCATACACATGTGCACACACATGCACAGGCATACACACACAGAAGCATACACATACACAGAGGCATGCACACACACGTGCACACACATACAAACAGGCATACATATACACACAGGCATGCACACACATAGGCATACACACGTGCACACACATATGAACAGGCATACATATACACACAGGCATATGCACACACATATGCACACACATAGGCACACACACGTGCACACACATACAAACAGGCATACATATACACAAAGGCATATACACATATACATTAAATAAATCTTTTGTTGTTGTTGTTTTTGAGACAGAGTTTCTCTGTAGTTTTGGAGCCTGTCCTGGAACTAACAGGCTGACCTCGAGCTCACAGAGATCTGCCTGCCTCTGCCTCCTGAATGCTGGGATTAAAGGCGTGCACCACCAACACCCAGCCATTAAATAAACCTTTAAGAAATTATTTAAAGTCACAGATTATTAGATTTGCTGTGTCTGAAAGGAGAAACATTTATTTCATAGCGCCAATTAGCATAAGCAATAAATGTTAGTCATATAGAAATATTTAGTACAGTTTTATTTTTCTGGGTCACAGTGCTGGTTTTGTTTTTCCTTCTGAGAAGTACCCATCCTTCTATTGTAGAATATATTTAAAAATTCAGAGTATATTGATTACATCCGAAAATTGACAATACACTTCAAAGACTTGCTGAAAGGTAGGAATTCTGACAGGACTAACAGATTCCAGCAATTAACTTGCAGGAGCATGGGAAACTCCTTCCACAGCCGTGCTATTATGAATGGGCGGAGGCAGGTAAACTGTGTTGGCTCCTACCTGAGTTGAGACAGAGTCCCCTTTCAAAGGTGTGACGTTTTGGAGGAAGGGCAGTGGGAACTCCCATCTTTTTTCTTCAGAACAAAGCCATTCTTCCTCAGTTTTGACTCCTTCCTAACTCCAGGTACCCTTGCTGTCCAGGCACCTTCCAGCGACTTTGACCTACCTCCTCTTCCAACCAGGATTCTTTCTGTATCAACTTCTTACACCCCCTCCCCCATCTTCCACTAATCAGCTTCAGCTGATAATCCCTTGCTGTTGAAAGTCACAGGAATGGATGCCATTGTCCTCCCGCTTCTGAAACTGGTGTCAGTACCAGCTGTACCCCACGAGCTGCCGCCACATGCTTATGAGAATGCCCCGGACCTCCTGACCCCTGCTCAGTCACAGGAAAACGGACACGCAGTCCAGCCATGTGGAGAAGCATGGTAGTGTTTGGGACGGGGCAACCCCTCCCCTCTTCAGGCCCAGGTTCTCAAGTGTTTTCACAGCCACGGGGGCTTAGCTGACCCCACTCAAGAAACCTGTGTGGATTTCTTTGAAACCTCCCTAAATCTACCTCTTAGTTATCTCCTTGCTGAGGACTTCTCTAGAAGCTAAAATGTTTTATGTTAATAACACCCCAGATACTCTATAAAGAAGTGCTCAGATGACGTCACAAAAATGTACTTTCTCATAGTTTACTAAATTAAACTTTGTATCGTAATAGAACCAAAATGTTTACGATAGCAGCGTTTTTCAGGCATAGTCAATTAGAGCCTGGACACGTTATCCTGTGGATGTATGTAACCTGTGTATTTCTGTTCTCTCCATTGTTGCCATGAAAATTCCTTTGTAAAGGTCCACGCTCATGAATTATGATTTGCTTTCAAATGGCCAGGCCGCCAGGGTAGAGCACTGGTGTGAGCAGCCCCCCTGTGAAGCCAGTGGTCTCTGAATCTGCTTTTGGGTGTGTGGCCTGATGAAAATGGTTACTTTTCAAGTCAAACTTGTCACTTAACCCTTCAGTGGAAGCTTTTATGCACATTAAATTAAAAAGATTCTATTACGCCTTGGGATGCGGTGTTTCTGGAAAGGGGACCCAGAAGGTTTGTTTTCCGGTGCTTTCGTCTTAGTGTAAACCTGACTGGTTGTGGCCTGCTCTGACTGTGGTCGAAGAGAAGCATCCTGGCACTGGAAGCGACATCTGCTGGAAGGAGTCCGGGCACTCATCACCACTGTCCTGGGGCAGTCTCCCCTGGGAGGTGGCAGACTCGAGGGCAGCGGCCATCCGGACTGGGCTGTATTGAAGGGGTGGAGAGATGCGTCAGTGGATAAAGTGTGAGAACAGGGTTCAGATTCTTGACACTCACCCGGGATCTTTGAGGATCTGGACTAGCTGAATTGGAGAATGAAGAGCAGTGGAGGGAAGTTCACGACATAGATTTTGGCTTCCACGTGTACTCTCACAAATCTGTGTCTACATATATGCATGCACACACACACACACACACACACACAAAGTATGCTGTATTAGAAAAGGGACAAGTAGGGGAAAGGCTCACACAATGTGAAGTGACTCTGAAGGACTGTGGCTCTTCATGTTCTGGACGGTAGGAAAGACCTGCTCCGTGTTTAGGTGGGGTGGGAGGACTTAGCTCGCTGTTTCCACTTGTCTCTTACGGCAGCAAAGTAGCTCGCATGTTTAGGCAAACGGTTCTCAATGTGGACATCTTTCTGCATTTATTTACACAGTTCTTACTGGAGGGTGTCTCAAAAGCGCCCCCGGTGGCTGCTAATGGAATGCCTGCTAGCATATTCTGGGTTTTGGAAATTTCCGAAATTCATGTGCATTTTTAGAAATTGCCTTATTTTTCACTTAGTTGCTTCCTTGCCTTTTCCCCAGTTATATCTGTTATAATATCTGTAAACCCATTATCCTAATAAGTGGTTATTTAAAAATTCCCCAAACAAGTTAAAAAACAAAATAGCTCCTGAATTGCTGTTATGGTTTGAATATGACGTGTTCTCTACAGACTTGTATCGTGAACACTTTGTTCCCAGCTTGTGATGCTATTTGGGGAGACTGGGGAAACTTTGGGGGGGGAGGAGGGTTTGGATCAACCTGGGGGATGGAGATCACTGGGCATGGGTCCTTGGAGCATTTTATCCCCAGCCCCTCTTTCTGCTTCCTGTCCATCATGATGTCAACAGCTTCTGCAGCACTCCTGCCGCCGCCGCCACCAGCCCAGAAACTCAGAACCAAAACAAATCACCAAGGACTGACCCTCTGACTCCATGACAGATAGCAACACAAAGCCTGTGGCCACATGACCCTTTATAGGTCATTTATCTAGTAGCCACCTCTTTCCTCACTCAGAGATGGCAGGAATATTCTAGAAAGCACATGCACTATTTTGTTACATGTAACCCAGTCTTTGCCAGCTGGCTTCTTTCATGTTAATCATTTTCGAATAAAAATGTCTAATATTTGTGTATGTGTGTGAATGTTTTTGAGTATGTCTGTGGGTGTGTGCATTCTAAGACACACTGGAGATTAGAGGACACTCTCAGATGTCAACCGTAACCTTCTATGTAGTTTGAGACAGGGTCTCTGTTGCTTGTTGCTGCGTGTGCTAGGCCAATTGGCCCACACACTTCAGAGATCCTCATTTCTTCCCATCTCTCCTCAGGAGCACTAGAATCACAGGTGGGCATGACTGAGCCCATCTTTATGTGCCCTTTCGTGTTTGTTTAACAAGTATATCTTTCCAGTCCTCATATGTGAGCCTTGATGCCTCTTTCTCCACCCTTTTTCTTCTAACACATGAGCACCACTCTTAGTCCAGAAAGTCGAATGCAGAAATGATCCGATGTGACGGTTAATTTTACACGCCTGCCTGCCTGGGTTGTGGATGTCAGACTAATAATGATTAACGTTGTTTTGGATGCATCTGTGAAGCATTTCTGGATGATGCTAACATTTGAATAATTTGATCCAGGGAAGTAGATTTCCCACTCCAGAATGTAGGGGCCATACCCAAACACGGGTAATCTGAAAAACAAAAGTTACATCGTTGCCAGTCTTGGTTCTCAGCTGTTGGATTCAGATTGGGACTATACTTGGGTGGCCTGGGCCTCAGCTTGCTGACTAGATAGATACCTTGGCACATCTCAGTCTGTATAATCATATGAACTAGTTTTCCACAAAAAGTCAGTCAGTCTGCTTATCTGTCTGTCTGTCTGTCTGTCTATCCATTTACCCACCTACCTACCTATCTATCTTTTTTTTTTAATGAATAAGTAAATGTAATTTAAACCATTTCTGTGATGCAAATCTAGTAAGGACAAATTCTTAGTTTTTCTTCATCAGGGAGTTTA